TATATATATATATATATATATATATATATATATATATATATATATATATATATATGCACCAAACTTCTACTGATGTGAAGTCTAAAGAGGATTAATATACATAATCTTACATTTAAATATTTAAATAAATTAATTTTTTACTCAAATTCTAGTCTATCAGGTTGTTGGAAAGGAGTAATTTTACTTATATCAAGTTCTCTCTAAAAATGATATTACTTTCACCTAAATACGCTTAACTTCAAAGTGAATATGATATTTTACTACTCATAAATACATACATACATACATACATATATATATATATATATATATATATATATATATCAAAAATAATAAATAATATTACTAATAATCATACCAATAATATCAATATTAATACTAGTATCAATATCAATACTAGATAAGAACCATTAACAATATCAATACAATTATCACTATCAATACTAATACCAATACCGATACTTTTAATATTACCATTATTTTATCGTTATCGATAAAAATATCATTACCATTATGATTTTCAATACCAATGATAATAATAATACCATTATTATTACTAATATTATTATCATAAAAAAAAATAAAATATTATTAATATTAATATCATTACTAATTCAAGCATCAATATCATTATTGATACCAACTTCATTTCCATTAAAAAATAGCCGTACAATTATCATTAGCAATATCATTATCATGGCTATTCGAATGAGAATACGACTAATATTATCCAATACCAATGCCATTATCATTATAGTTATCATTACTACGTAATCGGAGTTTTCTTTATAATGAGTTGAAAAGATATAAGATGTATGCAATTATCACTTAATTTAATATTTTTTTTAATATTAATACTATATACATATTATATTTGTTATGAACTATTAATTAATTATATTTAAAACACCATTATAATTAGATCATCGTCGATTAATTTTCAAATTTTGTTTACTTATTTCAAAGTTATATTATTTTATTTAGAAACATACTATCAACAATGTGCTTATCAAAATCACGATACGAATGTTATTTTACTAATTCTTAATGTTTTGTTATTTTTGAATGAATATCTTAGATTTTTTTAATTAATTTAACTATATTTATTTATTTATTTATTATATCTTATTGTATATATTATTTTGGTTTATTTCATAATTTGGTTATTTTATTTAAAAAATAGACAATTATTATTATTATGGATTTATATATTATCGTATTATTATATATTTTATTAAATAATTTTATATTTTTACATGATCATTTTATTTTATTTTTATAAATTTTAATATATATAATAATAAAAAATAAATAATAAATATATTATTGGATAAAATTGATTGAGGTTCAATTGGCGGAGAAAGATTGCGAAACATTACTTTCAACCTTCATTAAAAAAGAGCTCTTTACGACATTAAAAAAAAGGTTTTCTTTTTTTAAAAAGAGAATTTGCCATTTTCTTTTCCCTCTCTAAAATCTCTAATTCGTGCCTTTTTCTTTTTTTTTTTTTAAACGCTTAAACGCAACAACCCATCTATCGAAAATGAGTTGGCGTCCTTTGTGGGTCCCATAGTGGGCCCATGAGTTGTTGTCAACTTTGTCGAATAAACACGCGGGTAAGGAAGCGGGTAGATATGCTGGGGATAGGGAAAGGCCCAATTCTCAGCTACTAAACAAAAGCACACAGCGAGAGAGAGAGAGAGGGGTTGCAGATCTCGGCATCAGATCTGGCGTTGGGCTCGCACGCACGAACCCTAGCTCTGCTCTCCTTCGATCCCGTTTCTGGAGATCTCGCGATCCCATGGCGGTCGCTCCCTGGATAGCTGTCGTGCTGCTCCTCTCCGTCGTCGTCGGGAGCCGAGGGTTCTACCTCCCCGGCGTCGCCCCTGCCGATTTCCAAAAGGTGAGATATTTCTGCCCGCTGCTCGATCTCCTTCCCGAGCTTACCTCCGATCGAGTCGGTGGTCTCATCCCTCCAGATGCGGAGCAGGTCCTGATATCTTTGGCTTGATTCGGGTTTTAGGGTTTTAGGGGGATTGCGAGTTAGTGGGTTGATGGATAGTAGGCGGTGCTTGGTTTTGTTGGGTTGGCGTAAAACTGACTGAGATTTTTGGGTTTAAATGGAAGAGTTGTAGGAATGGAAGCGTAGATCTACTCAACTATGCTCTTTCATTAGGTCTTATTGTTTGGACAATGATGTGAATGATGGAGGTATCACCTATTAGGGCTTGGATCTCATGCTTCAGTTTCTCCTTATCCGAGGATAGTATGAGACATCTGCATTTCAAGTTAATGTAGCTTTTCCTCCTTGCTAATTGTTGCATCAAAAGGCCATTTTTTTTTATTCAGAAAACATAGCAATATTGAGGAGGAGAAGAAGAAGAAGAAGAAGCATTGTCTATATCTTTTCATTTTTGCATGTATTTGTCTGCATGTGCGTACTTAGAGGTTTGGTGTGTGTATTTTTGTCTTCAATTATCGAAATGCTATGATCCATAATTGCCATTGTCTTTCCATCTCTTTTCCTCCCTTTTTGCCAGACAGCTTCAGATATTGGCTTATTGTGATCAAGTAGGGTTTTTTATCCCTCTTTATGAATGAGTTGATGTTTCTGACTGCAGAAAGATCCACTTCCGGTGAAAGTCAACAAACTAACCTCGACAAAAACACAACTGCCATATTCCTTTTATTCTCTTCCGTATTGTCGACCAGATACTATACTCGACAGTGCAGAAAATCTAGGGGAAGTTCTTCGTGGTGATCGTATTGAGAATTCTCCGTATGTGGTTAGTTGATCTTCGTTATGACAGAGTTTCTTCTTCTGCTAACTCCTTCTGGCTTTTTCTCTTACAACATTGTATTTTGTGCTCAGTTTGAAATGAGGGAACCCCAGATGTGTAAGATTGTTTGCAAGGTTACACTCAACGACAAAGATGTGAAGGATCTGAAGGAAAAGATAGAGAATGAATATCGTGTCAACATGTAAGGCAAACGTAGTGTGCAGTCACCTTGCAATCTGTGTTGACGATTCTGCGTGATATAGTTGATGACTGAACAAGTTGTTGTTTTGCAGGATTCTTGACAATCTGCCACTGGTTGTTCCTATTAGAAGGCTGGATCAGGTTGCTCCAATGGTCTATCAGCTTGGCTTTTATGTTGGTGCCAAAGGCCAACCTACTGGAGTAAATACATCTGACAGTAAAAAAAAATCACATATTGTTAGCTTCTTAAGAAATATGCATTAATGAAATGCTCTTTATGTTTCTGCAGAACAAGGATGTGAAGTACTATATCCACAACCATTTGTCATTTCTAGTTAGGTATCACAAGGATACACAAATGGACCTTGCAAGAATTGTGGGATTTGAGGTTAAACCATTCAGGTTAGGGTTGTCTGAGAGCTCTCTCTTTTTTGTCTGCCTATGCTTTTACCCTGTATTATGATTTATTTTCTGCTCTGTTACAGCGTTAAACATGAGTATGAAGGTCAGTGGAATGGGAATAAGACTCGCTTGAGCACCTGTGATCCTCATGCCAAGCGCTCCGTCCTGAACTCAGATTCCCCACAAGAGGTCTCAGCAAACAATGATATTATATTCACATATGATATTGAATTTGAGGTGAGATTTTGATCATTGCCTACATTTTGATCTAGAGAAACATGTCCTCTCTACTTGCATTTTTCAAGAGTATACAATGGAGCTGAAGAAACAATTTGTAGTGTTGAGCCTGGTGTACATTAGTTTTAATCTCATTTCTCATTTTTCTTTTGTGCAGGAGAGCACTGTGAAGTGGGCATCCCGATGGGATACCTATCTCCTGATGTCAGATGACCAAATCCACTGGTTTTCTATTGTCAATTCTTTGATGATCGTCCTCTTCCTTTCTGGCATGGTTGCCATGATTATGCTTCGGACACTTTACCGTGATATATCCAAGTACAACCAGCTGGAAACTGAAGAAGAAGCCCAAGAAGAGACAGGATGGAAGCTGGTCCATGGAGATGTTTTCAGGCCTCCATCTAACTCAGATTTGTTGTGTGTATATGTCGGGACGGGTATTCAGTTCTTCGGCATGTTACTGGTGACTATGATTTTTGCAGTCCTTGGCTTCCTATCTCCGTCAAACAGAGGAGGATTAATGACCGCGATGCTCCTACTTTGGGTCTTCATGGGTTTGTTTGCTGGTTATTCTTCTGCCCGTCTCTACAAGCTGTTCAAGGGGACTGAATGGAAGAAAATTACACTGAAGACAGCATTCACATTCCCAGGAATTGTGTTTGCGATCTTCTTCGTCTTAAATGCTCTCATCTGGGGGGAGAAGTCATCTGGTGCAGTGCCATTCACCACAATGTTTGCCCTTGTATTGCTCTGGTTTGGTATTTCAGTGCCGCTCGTGTTTGTTGGCAGTTATCTGGGGTTCAAGAAACCTGCACCAGAGGATCCCGTTAAGACCAACAAGATCCCCAGGCAGATACCGGAGCAGGCTTGGTACATGAACCCAGTTTTCTCAATACTAATCGGAGGCATTCTTCCATTTGGAGCTGTTTTCATCGAGCTCTTCTTCGTCCTTACTTCGATCTGGCTGCATCAGTTTTACTACATATTTGGGTTCCTCTTCCTCGTCTTCCTCATACTTATCGTCACATGTGCCGAGATCACAATCGTGCTCTGCTATTTCCAGCTGTGTGGCGAGGACTACTTGTGGTGGTGGAGGTCCTATTTGACATCAGGGTCTTCGGCGCTGTATCTCTTCCTTTATGCAACCTTTTACTTCTTCACCAAGTTGGAAATCACCAAGCTGGTATCAGGACTTCTGTACTTTGGCTACATGCTGATTGCCTCCTACGCCTTCTTCGTGCTGACCGGCACGATCGGGTTCTGTGCATGCTTCTGGTTTACAAGGTTGATCTACTCATCAGTGAAGGTTGATTGAGAGGTAAGTTAGGTCATATAAATTGTCAGATATGAAGCAGCCGCCTTGCGACCACCTAGCTTAATGGGTGTTACATCAACAAGATTCAAGAGCAGGGATTCATGTTAGTAGGATGAAGGATCCAGGCTGTTTTTTTTCCGCTGTCTTTTCATGTTTTCAGTGATCAAAGGAGGATTCCTTTTGTTTTTTTTTTTTTTTCTTCATGTTCTGCAAATTTTTTGTTATATTGGAACAATTTCGTCAGTCAAGTAACCTATTTAATTATTTGGGGTTGGCATTGTGCACATTGTATCCGAGCTACAGCTGATGATGCAAGTTGTCATGTGGACAAGATGGCTACATGGGGAGTATCTAGTGAACCCTCTGTATCTTCTACCTTGGGCAGGCACCCTTGTTCTTAATCAAAGGCAAGTAATAAAACAATTAATTATTATTATTATTCTGCTGCTGCAAAGGATAAGTTGTGTAGATAAGATTTAATTTTAATTTCTTAAATAGATTTGTTACACCACTATTATAATGTTTTAAAACATTAGTAAATAGATATCGTAGACCATCATCATTAATATTTTAGTTGTTATTTGATTATTAGTTATAGTTATTGCATTATAGCCTTACTTGTTTTCCTATAATGAAATTTCAATTAGAATGAAGGTCATATTAGTATTTACAAAATTAATTTGTTTAATGAAATTATCACTGAATAAACTAACATACTCTGCCTCGGTCAACGACCAACCCAAATGATAAGAACTTGGTGTAAATCACACGAAATCCGTATCATATACCTCGAGAATACGTTATATAATCTACTAGATTTTTGAGGATATCTCCATGTCAACGATCCTTTTGAAGAACACAGAGTCAAACTTTGCCAGGGATATACTACTGTTGCCTTGTGAGTTAGGTTGACATGCTCCAGTGAATCCATCCATCCACTGTCGGCCAATCAACTCTACCATAAATCCCCCCTTTTCTCTCTCTCTCTCTCTCTCTCTATCACTCTCACTCTATATATATATATATATATCTGTCTCTCTCATTCCTTTCATCTTTGTTCCTTTATATGTATATATATATATATATATATGACTTCCTTATCTCTCTCTCTCTCTCTCTCTCTCCACAGAGTGTGCCCTGTAAACATCAAGCCAATTTGACTCCTCTTTTGAAACCCCAATCGACAACTGTAAACCACGTTCCTCTTCGCCTTTTTTCTCTGCAACATAATATTCATACCTACATTTCTTCCCTTTGTTGTTGTTATCACCACCCTCCATCTCCACCACCGTCACTCCTCTCTCTCTCTCTCTTGCACCGAGCGTTCTGCTGCTCGCTCTTCTTCTTGTCCGAAGACCTGCAACTCCCATCCCGATGCCTTCCCGCCACCTCTCGTCTCCTTCGCCTCCACCCATCGCCGCCGCCCACCGCCATCGCATCCTCCTCCTCGCCGTCGCCGTGTCCGCCTCCTCCCTAATCCTCCTCGCTCTCTTCCTCCTCTTTCTCTTCTACCTCTACCTCCGCCGCTCCCCGACGCTCCCTTTCCTCTCCTCTGCCGCCGCCGCCGATAACCCCCTATGCCTACGCCGCTTCTCCTACCGCACCCTCCGCTCGGCCACTGCCTCCTTCGACCCGGCCCGCTCCCTCGGCCGGGGCGCCTCCGCCGCCGTCTTCCGTGGCCTCCTCCCCGACGGCAAGTCCGTCGCCGTCAAGCGCCTTCTCTCCTCCCCTTCCTCCCCCACCCGCGCCGCCTCCTCCGACCGCGAGTTCCACAACGAGCTACAAGTCCTCGCCGCCCTCCGCCCCTCCCCCTTCGTCGTCTCCCTCCTCGGCTACTGCCTTGAGGGCCGCCGACGACGCCTCCTCGTCTACGAGTACATGCCCAACGGGAGCCTACAGGAAGCCCTCTTCGGCTCCAGCTCCCCTCTCAGCTGGGACCGCCGCTTCTCCATCATCCTCGACGTCGCCCGAGCCCTCGCCTTTCTCCACCTCGAGTGCGATCCCCCGGTCGTCCACGGTGACATCAAGCCCAGCAATGTGCTCCTCGGCTTCGATTTCCAGGCGAAAATTTCCGATTTTGGCTTGTCTCGGGTGAAGACCGAGGCCGATCTCGGCCCCGAGTTCTTCAGCCAGGATCTCGGCCCGAGCCAGGAGCTCTTCAAGAGCCAGGACCTCGTTCCAGAGAGCCCACAGGTAGACCTCCCCGTCCCCCTTCATGCCTCTTCATCCATTTCCTGCAAGAACTCCGACACCAGGCCGAATCCCGCCGGTAGTCACAGGGGGAAGGAGGCAACGGCACTCAGCTCCCCTGTCCAAGATGAGATTTTTAGCTTCGAGCATAGAACAGAGTCGGGTGCGACGCTGGATGATGGCAGAACAGAGTCGAATGGTCAATGGGGGAAGCACTGGTGGTGGAAGCAGGAAGGCAGCGGGGAATTGAGCAGCAAAGACTATGTCAGGGAGTGGATCGGGACCCAAATTTGCCCCTCAGGCAATCCCGATTGGGAAGACGAGAAGAGGATTTCTCCCGAGAAGTGTTTTGATTTCAGGAACTCAAGCCGGGTGGAGAATCTGGACGTCGGGGACGACACCCTCTTCGGCGACGCCCGTGATAAGAACACAGAGAAGAAACAGGGGAGGAAGAAAGGCATTCTCGCCAGTGACAGGAAGGACAGGAAGATGAGGGAGTGGTGGAAGGAGGAGTACTTCGCAGAAATCAGCAAGAAGAGTCATCACAAGAAAGAGAGGAAGTGGTTCCGAACAATTAGTAGCCGAGAGCATACCGGTAGCGCCGTCGACGACGATGCTCGACGCGGCCGAGATCTGAACGTGGACATAAGCTTCAGGAAGGGCTGGAAGAAGAAGAGGAGCCGATCGGCTGGCAGCGACATGTTCAGCGGCGACATGTTCAGCAGGGAGCTCAGTAGCACGACGAGCATGAGAGGCACAGTGTGCTATGTTGCTCCCGAGTGCCATGGATGCGAGCAGTTGATGGAGAAGGCAGATATCTACAGCTTCGGGGTTCTGATCCTTGTCATCGTGTCGGGAAGAAGACCCCTGCATGTGCTGTCGTCGCCGGTGAGGTTGGAGAAGGCAAACCTTGTGAGCTGGTGCAGGCAGCTGGCTCAGATGGGGAATCTCCTGGAGCTGGTGGACGAAAGGTTGAAGAGCTCATACAACAAGGAGCAGGCAGGCCTCTGCATCAACTTAGCTCTCTTGTGCTTGCAGAGGATCCCCGAGTTGAGGCCCGATAGCGGGGATGTCGTCAAGATCCTCAAGGGGGAAATGGAGCTTCCGGTAGTGCCATGTGAGTTCTCTCCATCTCCTAACGCTAGACACATGAGTAGGTCACGAAGAAAAGCTTCCATGGAAGTAGTGTAGATCATTTGCCACTGCAACATCGAAACACAGAAATAATAAAGATAACCCTCGAAAGAAGAAGAAAAAAAAATCGATCGAGGGTAAGTAATTTGAGCTTCTTGATGTTGTTTCATCCTGTTTGTTCCTTGTGTAAATATGATTTAACTTGCTATGGATTGAAGCTTCTTATCATACTACTACTACTACTACTACTACCATCAAAAGAATGTTTTCTTAGAAACCAATACATGCTTATCAATGAGCTAAAGGTTTATTGATTTGCTGGTAGAACAACTGCTGTCAATGTTCAGCTGTGGATTAGGATCTTGGAATCTTATAATGTTGTCAAGACAAGGCTAAAATACATGCAACACACAAGGTGATGTGATGTAGACTGCTGATCCTTTGTATACTCTATTAGTTCAGAGATCAGGTCATTAACAACTTGGAGCTGGATGATTGACATCCAGAATCCATTGGTTGCTTAGACTATCAAGCATCAACCTGGACGCACCTGAAGCAATCACATTATATGACCTTTGTTTATAAGCTTAATTAGCTGTTCATATAAGATAGGAACTCATAATAATTGGATGGTCCAAAGGTGTCACTTTGGCAGTTGTCACACACCAACTCTTCATAGCTTCTATGGTGTTTATAACTTCCGCCCAGTTAAGCTATCTTGTGCAGTGACCAAACCACTTGTGATCAATCACATGCATATGCTGTCTTATTTTAGGAATGGTGGCACCAACTTGAAACATTGTACCAGCAAAATGCAAGTTGTTCCTTTTAAAAGGAGGTAGAATATGTACTAGTGGATTGGGCAAATCTCTGCAATGGATGTCTTTTAGACAATACAATTCCTTTTCTTTCATAGAATTGACTTGTTGCTTTTCCTTAAAGCCATTTGAATTAAGGGTCACCTTTGTTCTATCTTTTTGTCTATGTTTCCACCTACTACCTCCAGTCATGTTCTATTTTTGTCACTCATACTAGTCAGGTTGTGTCCACACGGTTTAACTAGTGTTTTATGGTGGTGGACTGACCTTTTTATTCCTTACTGTTTATTTGGTAGCATGAAGGACTAGTATCATATGGATCATCAAACAGCACATAAGGGAAAGTGCTATCACCAACAATGACAAAAGAAGGGATCATGATGTTAACCACTTGGAAAAGAAGCAAGAGAAAAGTAGCATGCACTAGTAGCCTTTTTTTTCCCCAAAAGCTAAAAACTATATTACAAAAATCTAGTACAACCAAAACCTTGCTAGCAAAAAATGGATTTCAAGTCCCGAGATTAACTAATTCTCTAGGCCTGATCAACACCAAAATTTTAGCATGTATGGGCAATCTATGAACACTAGTAATTTGCTAAGCAAATAGGAAACTTTTACCATGCACTGGTAGCTATTATCTCATCACTAAGCAAATGCTTGACTGAAACTTGTTTCTAGGCTTGGGAGGCTTCCTTATTTTTCTTCTCTTTACCATTGATGGAAAAATACTTAAAAAGTACTGATACCCTCAAAATATGTTCTTAATTAGCCATAGAAAACTATATTTTTGACAGTTGATTTCACAAGCTTGCTAGTAAACCAATCAAGGTGGGGTTCTAATCTGGTGGTGTCCTTAATTTACTTATCTTAGGTTGAGGATTTCTCAATTCGAATTATGTCTTCACCCCTTAGCCTTTGCATAAAAAAAATCAGAACAGGGATGCCTTTAGGCTTCGGCAACTTTTGGAGATTTTGTCACAAGAGCTTGTCCTGAGTTGTTGAATCCTTACTAACCACTTGAGCAAGATTATGAAGGATTCATGGACAAGCATGTCTCCTTGCCACTTGAAACAGCAGAGCTACCCTAAATTTGGACTGGAGCAAGGACACAGGGGTCCACCTAACATGGCTTGTGGCTTTTGCACCCAACCTTGTGGGACAGATAGAACATGACTCATCAATCAGATGATGGGAACATGTGATAGCCACAGACAGATGGAAATGAGCTCATCCTCTATACCACTGTTAACATTCAGCTAAAAGACTCAGGTTAATCACCTCTAGTGATTAGTATTAGTTAATTCAAATCATAAAATTTATCAAATCATAACAAGCTTGTAAGGGAAATCAACATCAATTTTAATTCAACCAATGGATAAATGACAGTTAACTGAGAGAGATTATGTTTTTAGGTTTTAATAGAGATGTTTACACCAAACTTGAATATAGAGGGATAAATATGAAATGAAATCACTTTGTGGTGATATATCTTTAATGTTCTTAAGGCATCCTGTAAATGATATTGATCTCAATTTTTATTTAATTGTTGGACAAATAATAATCAGCTGATAGAGAATTCTTTTAAGGTTCCATAGAGGGTTTTAATGCTAAACCTAAATTTAGAGGGATACATATGAAACCACTTTCCTTGTTGGTGCAAAGAAAGTATATAATAACAGGTCATAATATCTGGTCGATTACATGGCTTTTTTACCCCCAGTGGAACACACACACACACACACACATTTGCAAGTTTCATGAGTGCTATTTTGGTCAAGAGTTTATGCAAACACTTTTAATCCGTTTCCTATTCCTAATGAGCTCTAGTGATGAAGTGGACAGAAAAAGCACTTACATTCTTCCTTGTTAATGATTATGCTCGAGCATAACAAGGTAAAATAAATATCTTACCAAATTAGACATAATTAATGGAGCAGTAAACTAACACCTTGACCAAATAATTATAACTTATTTTCAGTATGCATCTACATACTGTTTGCAGCATGCATCTAGAAACATGATAGCTAATCTATGTCTAGGAAAATAAACTTTACTCTGCATGTCTTTATCTTTAAATACTCTTTCTGCCATTGATTAATAAAAAAGGTTGAGGAATATACCATTTTAAAGTGATCAGATTCAAGGAAAAAGGTTGGTGGGGTTAATCCTGAGTTGGTTTTGATTGAAATCCTGTAACAAGGATGGAGTGATTAAGAAAAAGATCTGTTCGTCACTCTTTCACTAAAAGAAGTGTTATGTATTCGTTTAGTAATGCATAAACCGAAGGAATGCTTCACACTCTTTAAGTCTAAGCATTGATGGAAACCTTCATCACAATAGAGAGGAACAGCTCACTGAAAGCAACAAGCATTGAATCACAACTTTGATAATGGAGACCTTCACAATGGATAAGATGATGAGACTTTACTAACCGAATTAATATGCATCTTAACAGCTCAGTGAAAGTAACAGAGCATTACGTTCCAATTACTCGGGATCAAACTACACTTCTTTCAAATCAAAACTAGAAATGGTTGCATATAGGAAAAAAGGTTAATGTGTGAAACATGTATCATCAGCATCAAATGAAACTTCTCTCATTTGTGAGAGCGATGCTAAGAAAGTACAAAAGAATAATAAGAATTACATGAAAAGGCTTGAGCTGATCAGGTTACTGGATATCTTTTCAGACTGGTATGTCAAATGATCAGATCATAATATTAATAACAAATATAAAAATAATGACACACTTAATGTAAACATAAAAAAAAATAAAATAGTTTTTTTTCCCCCTTTTTTCCCCCTTTATTTCTTCTCTTTTTCATGTCCCTGACCTCCTATTGTTTATTCCACTTAGTTTTTTTTCATTAATGTAGTGGCTTCCTCCTCTTCCTCTCTCTCTCTTTTTCTTCTCCCACATTCCTCATCGTGTGTGTGGTATAGAAAGCAAGAAAGGATGAGGTGAAGCAACAAGAAAGGGAGAGGCAAAGGGCTCTGTAACATATGATTCAAGGTTCGTGAGAGTTAGTGGTTAGTGTCATGAAGTTAGTGGTATATGGAGTTAGTGGCCAATGTAATTAGTGCTCATGTGACATACAATGGACCTTGTACTAAGCAACTTATGTTGCAAGTAAAGCGTCATGTAGTTAATGAGTGTTCATGACATTGTTAGTGTGTCATATAGTAACATAATTTAGGGAAAAATTGTTAGTGCATGTGCATTTCTCAGTGTTTATGCCTTGTGAATGAAAATGCAATAAAGACACTAATCTTCTTATTGCAATTGATTAATACTTTATCCTCAATTTGGAGGGGGAAAAAAAACTCTCTCTCTAATCTCTTACCTTCAATAGTTTCTAAGGTGGCAAAGTGAAACTCTCTAGGTAAGTGCAAGGCAATCCATCCAATTCATGACTATCACACAAACTCTTATTCCTATTTCTAAAGGTGATAATATAAATTTGAAGCATGAACATAAAACCCTTAGAATCTGATTGAGATGAACGTATAAATCCAGATGATAATAAAAATTATTGAGAGAAAACTGTAAAAAAATTGAGAGGCACATGGAGGACACGCGGCCAGCAATGAACAGTGGTTGACTATAGATTGACATTAATCCAACAAAATTTTTAATTGTTGGACTTTTCGATTCATTTCATCGTGGAAGAGAAGCACGTCAACGTACCAAGAACAGTCCGGCAATGTAGCCAGTGGGATCCTTGCTCAAATCAGACCAAAAGATGAGGTGGCGAATGCAATCATGTTGCCCTTTTACCTTTTGAACTTCCCCTTTTTACTAGATCTTTATCCACGAACAGTAGAAAAATCACATCGCATATGAATCCATACCCTAAATAATCTCAGCGAAGACGAGCGGAAAAAGAAGAGGAACAAGAAGAATTCGAGACGAGGGGGAACCTTGACGACATCCAGTTGCGGGCAATCCGAGGAGGTGACGGTGGTCGAAGGAAGAGGGCGTCACAGACTTCCAGGCCTTGAAGGCGCGGAAGAGAGAGAGAGAGGGAGTGTAAATGGGAAACTTATAACGAAGACTTGGGGCTTTTTATCCCCGCCGTTAAGAGCAACATCACGGAACGAGATCAAGCGTTTTTGCTGATACCAACGATCGTATATACGTAGGTATTAAGTGATTTCTCGGAAGACTTGGGTTTCCATACCGTATGTTGATTTTATCATTTTTCTTGTTTTTTTTATGCACATAAATTGGTATCCAGGAAAACAAAGACAAACAGAAATACACGTGGGATGTTCTCATTGGATGGCGGGTGCGAGCATGTAGAGGCCAAGAATGCACAACGGCCTATATAAATGCCGTTTCCTTCGATGCAACGCAGCGGTCCCGCACGTTACGAGCCTGGAGATGGATTCATCAACCACGATGTGGTTCTTCCGATCGGTGGGAGTTGAATCGGATCCCAAGCTCTTTTAATTATAAGATGAATGCAGCTTCTACGAGAATAATCCTTCGCTTTTCTCCGCATCCGAAGCCAGTGTTCTTCGATCCAGAGTTGTTGATCCGGTAAATTTCCATCGCTTGCTGATTATTGGTCGTCTTCCATGATTTAGGGGCGGAAAAATCCGGTTTTTGTTCCCCTTTTTCCTTCGATTTGGGACGTTTGATCTGTTGGAGGTCCCAATGTGGGTGGCAGGAATTAGGGATTTCTGGTGATGGCGGAACCCGAAGTCATTGCTTTGAGAGAAGCTATTCGGAGTCGATCTACAACTCTGGAGAAACTTTATGGAGAGCTGGAGGAGGAACGGGAAGCTGCGGCATCTGGAGCGGACGAAGCTCTATCCATGATCGTGCGCCTGCAGGAAGAGAAGGCAGCCGAGAAGATGAAGGCGAGCCAGTACAAGAGATTGGCGGAGGAGAAGCTGCGGCACGCCAAGGAGTCCTCGACGATTCTGAAAGACGTCATATTTCAGAAGGAGATGGAGATTGCATCCCTCGTGTATCAAGTGCAGGCCTACAAGCACAGGCTGTTAAGTTTGGGTCTCAGAAATATGGATGATGATGTTATGATGAGGAATGGCAACCGGTGCAGGACAAGCTTGGTTAGGAACATCTCTTTACCTGCGCTTCTCCTGGAAGAACTATCATCAGGGCTTCATGTTACTGAAAATTTGTATTGTGGCATTGCTGACAACATGGAGTTCGGTGAAGAGCACGATGCAGCCAAATTGCATGAGTTTATGAATTTGGCTAGATCAGAAACAGCAGAAGCACACAGAAGAGCAACAGAGTGGCAGCAAAAACTCGAGTATCATGATAAATTTCACATGAATTCTAGGATGGTGCCTGTGAAAATGAGACAGAATCCTGGTTGTTCATGGTATCTACAACTAGCAGCGAGTGACGACAACAAATTCGACAATTCAACATCGAACATAAAGTCAGATGAAGGCAGCATTTATCAAACAAAATCAGTCAATTTGCAAGACTTCCATGATGTTCAGGAGAATCACAATCGTCCAAGCGGGTCTAGAACATGCAGCCAACTTTCGCAAGAACATTTCGAAACCAAATGCATGAACAGAGTGCCAATTGCAAGACAGGAAGAAGCTATGTGCAACCTCCCGAAAGATCAGCACAACAATTTTTTCTCGCATGCCCATCATAAGAACAAATTGTACCAACCATGGGAAGAGGCACCGATGGATTGTCCTCCAACACCTGGAAATTCTCATGATGCAGTTTCTTTATCTCACAATGATCTTGAGCAACTAAGAATGCTGATGCAGAAATTTAAAGACGACATGAGAGATACGAAGCAGGAAAATCTCGAGCGAGGCAGAAAACAGTTGCAGTCATTAAGGAGAATAATCAAGCATCTTGATTCTATAGAATCACAAGTTAACAACACAGAGTTTGAGCACGATCAAGAGGATGATTCTCAATTTACGTACCTTGTGGAGGTAATGTTATGTTACTTTCTCTGCACTGGTGCTTTGCTTGTTTCTCAAACTAGGCACTGAAACTCATCAGTTAGGATATTAATGTATCAGGAGTACCCTTAGAAACATCTAGAAAGACAAGGCCTTCACTATACACAGATATGAAGAAGAACACTATGAGATCAACTAAGACTCACCTGGAGCTTTTACAACTATACTGTCAACCATATTTCCACCCTAAACAAGATACATTAGCCTCTCATCTTTAAAGAAACTGGTACCATAGATTTTAACCATAGACACGCAGTTCATATTTTGTAAGAAAAAAGAAAAATCATGCATGAAGCTAAGTCTAGATATGACCAACATAAATTTTGCCTGTGCAGATTTGCTTTCTTATATTTGTTGATCTATGCCATTCAGCTGCATACAGAATATTAGCCAGTCTATGCTTTTTTTCTTGCTGTTATTATAGAACTTTTTTTTAGCAAAAGCTGTTTTAGAGCTTGACATAGTGTAATTCATAAACAGGCAATGCTACATTTCTGGCTTTAGTCTTGTCAAATTGGACCTTTGGCATTGAGAGGCTCGTCTTCATCCAAGGTTCATTCTAAAAGTGCTGATAAATCACCATTGAGATTCTAAAAAAATAACCTTCTGGTTCCAGCAATGTTTGTAAAGTGAACAGCTGGTGACTTCGGACTTCCTCTTTCTGTTGGTCGATCAATTGTACCATGTTTAAGTCATAAGAAAACTTTTTATACACCATGAGTACATATTTGTTTCTGTGGCAAAATACTGGATAGAATTCCTCAAGAAAGAGAAACACAACATGTTAACCTGCATTATCATGAATTTAATCTTTTCTTGCTTTACTTGCTCTTAAAGGTAGACAATCTTGACTGACAGAGGAAAAAAGGAATAGAAGACTTAAAGTAGTATCAGATTAACATAAGGCATCATCTTTCTGAAGTTGCATTCTAAAACAAATCTTCACGGGTAAATATGCAGAGAGAACAAAACAGAAGAGCACATTAAAAAATGATAACATCTTAGCACATTGCATGGGGACAGTTCCATCTGTTAGTACATACTAATCATGGGTCCAAAATAATGCTTCATTCGCTTGAAGCTGCATGGAGATCACCGAGTTCAATGTTTTGAAATTAAGGCTCCAGTTTTTTTTTTCCCCAAGAAAACACTAAATTAAATTAAGGCTGTTGTTTATCAGACATTACAGTGTATCTCTCTGAATACTGTTTTGATTTATATGAGATTGATCTCTTCTGTTAAAGGACTCCAGGTTTCAATAAGGGCATCTTTGACATTAATTTTATCTTTTATGCTTTAGGAAAATAAAAAAATAGTTTTAAGTTTGATTGTTAGTGTTCACAAACCTATTTGATGATCATAATGTAGCTTATTCAAAGAGTGCATTGGACTGTGAACTCACTGGAAAATCAATATAGGATAAATTGATGTAAAGTTACGGGCTACGGAAAAGACTAAATGACACTCACTGCACAAGATGTGAGAAGTTAATTCGCAAAAAAGAGAGTGCCTCTGTCCAAACAAAATGAATTTTCTTTTCTTTTTTGAGGCTTATTTTCAAAATTTTTATGCCAAATATACAGATCAAGATGACATTTATGAGTTTACATGCATTGAACTTTGATCTTTATAGGTCGAAAAATACTTGAAACATTTATACTTAAAAACATTCAATAATCATGTATTGAAGATTCTTTCCCATATTTCAGTACTTGACAAAGTTCATCGCTTAGCGTAGGTTGGGATACCAGTTACCTCTAAAAACTGATTTTAGAAATCAGATTTAACTACTCATTGACTTCTATATGCTTGATAAGAAGTTCATATATCAAGAACCAAATAAGTATCCTTTTAGGGACAACCTAATTTTCTTTTAAAATCAGAAATTGGTTTAATAAATGCAAAATGGTTCCTTTGACACTTTTCCATAGACAACGCTCTTTCATGTATCCAAAAGTATCAATTTTTAAAGACAAAAACTGTCCCGATGGCATTCCCATGTCTCCATTTATCATAGAAAACACAGGTATTTGCTAGCCTTAGTGGGCACACCAGCAGAGCCACCTTTCTAGATTCGAGTGTGATAACTAATTCTCACAATTTTCCTTTTCATCATATCTACTGCCAGATTAGTCTCAAATATACCAGTCGTGATATACAATGGGACATAAAATAGAAACAAAAACCGCTGGGGACATTGTATATTTGATATACAAAATTCTTCTCTGATGATCATAATTACCAAGAAAGATGGCGACAGTGACATGAATCAAATGTGGTTTCATGTTTAGATAAGCCAACAGAGATATAGATGAAAAGTCACTATATGGAACCTCAAATGATCCTGAGTTCCTTGAGCCAAGCTGTGTGCAGAGGGCATGGGTCTGACCTTCCTCCTGCAAGTGCCTTTTCTGAGAGAGAGTAAAAGTAGCCATTCCTCCACTTGAACTGTACATTGGTCACATTATGAATGTCAAATACCATGTCAAGATATTGTTTACAAGTTAACATAGCTTTGTCATATATATGCTCACCTCCTTAACAGCAGTCGGGAAGTGTGCAACAGCCCTGGAATAAGCACATAGCCTATCCTCCATGCCTTCTTCGAACGTTAGTTGTTTCTCTGCAGCAGCTGCAGATGCTAACTCTGCAATGAGGCTCGCTACCTATGACCAACATTTTGTAAGCCTTAACTTATGCTGTTTCACATAAAAATATGTGAACCAGATTCATCTCAAACCAAATGAATATGCTTACTTCAGATCGATATTCCTTTTCCACAACACCAATGGTAGCCCCCGGATGGCGGGCTCCGACCAGCATGAAAGCTGAGATCCATATGAGCTTCTCCAACATTTGCTTCTGAAAAGCTTCCTTTTCAAGGACCTGAATCAAATAAACATCATCATTTGAGCATAAATGTCAGATTTGACCATCAATGCTGCTAAAACTCGATAATTGGCATTTCAAACAATGACAAGCTCCTAACATAAGATCTGGAAGACTAATACCGACATGATGAGGTACTGCAATATACTTCCATAGACCTACCATTACATTATCCAACAATGTCTTCATTTTGATAGAAGAAAACTTGCAATACATATGAACAATTAAGGCGAGGTGATAACATATAAGCTTCAGGTAGTGGGTGGGGTTGTCATATACTTGAACAGGAAGACAAGCCAGAGCTTGAGAGCACAAACCTTGCAAGAAAGGCCTCCACCATGGAGACGTGCGGCTACTGCTGATGCCCATTTCCCATACGCTGCTGTCAGTCCTTCAGGATTCGTGTCGGTCTTGCCATCGACCGGATCCTCCCCCAGTTTCGACACAGCAAAATAAGCCAAGACTTGATCCGCATCACCCAACCCTTTGCTCTCAAGCCATGGTTCCAGCATCCCATTCTGGAAGAACACCAGATCTGCCACCACGTTGAGATCCCAAACCTTTAATCCAGCTTAAAGAAAACGGGGAAACCATCAAACGACCAGGGTTTTTATGCTTCCGTAGGAGATTGGATACCGTTCCACCGCGAGGGAGGGGTGGAGGCAAGGACGGCCTCAAGGTCGTCGTTGCGAGTGCAAACGAGGATGGGGCCTTCGAACTCGGCGGGCACCGGCTGACCCCTCCCGACGAGGACGTCACGGCCGTCGCCCAGTGACTGCAGCATCCGACCGACTCTCCCGCCGCCCACGATCACCGCCGGCGTCGAGGTGGTGGTTGCCATGACCGAGGAAGCCCTAATCCTACCAGCTGAGGAGGAGGAGAGATGGGCGATGGCGGCGACTGGAGCGAGGGAAAGCCTAACGGCGGTAGCCATCTCGGTGGCGGGGGCACGTCATCTTAGTCGACCTCGCACTCCGCTCGATTTGTTGATAACCAACGGTGGATGAGGGCCATTCGTTCTGTGCCGTTATCTGATCCGGTTCATCGCGGGATTGAACCGGACCAAATTAGTAAGGTTAGAAAGGGATTGAACCGGATCAAATTATTAAGGTTTTAAACATAAAATAAATGTAGTTTTACCTTTGATAATGCACTTGATGGTAATAATATGGAACCTCAAATGATATTAATGGTAATAATATGGTAACTATTCCAAATAAAATTTTATTTTCATATTAATCTAATCACTAATATTATATAGGTAATTGATGTTTATTAACACCATAAGTTCATTGTAAACCTAAATATTATGTTAACATTATAGTTTGTTCTTGATCATGGCTTGTAATGTCATCCAGATTCGATACGAATGATATTTATTAGTTCAATAACCTATTAATACATGACATTACGGACTAATCCATATTATGAGTCATTGTGAATATTTTTTCAATCCTTTTTAAGATTTTTATTTTTTTCAAAACTCAATTGATATCAATATAACGATACTTATAATGATAAGACCCGTATCAATCCAGGCTAGGATCGAAACGAATTCGATATCCGAAATCCGAAATGAAAAACCTTTCTCTTGCTAACCAATATGGACAAGAGTCTTGTAGTTGCTTCAAGCTAGTGAGCCATAAGTGCCATTACCTTACCTCAGTACTGTGCCAAATTCCTATATACCAAGAAGTTGTTTTTGAGGAAAACATATGAAAGATTTAGTGTCAACAATGCAGAGAATCCAGACATATATATCCTTCCTGAGGATGACCACTCAAAAAGTCCTGTGAACAAACATTTTACTGATGAAGAATGGACATGTCAACAAGAATTCTCAATCAGGGACTGAAGAATGTGACTCTCTATGAACAGAGCAACAAGAAGAACATCCATTTTTATTTAGGAATATCATGTTCTACAAATGAAGAACACCCTTATCATAGCCAACACATCAACCACAAACTGTGTCACCAGAAACACACACATACTCTTCAACAAGACAAATGAAACATTATGAATTGTTTATGGATTTTAGAGGCATCCCTTTCATGGATGCTCCAAAACCACATGCTAGTCAAAAGAATTTCAATTTCCCCTTGTGCAAAGAAGCTTTGGCCTGACAAAGTGCCTTTTCGGCCGCTGACATTCCTGGGCATGAACCTGCAACCCCCATCGTAACTGCGAAGTACAGATAGATGGTGCATAGGAATGCCAGTAGAGCTAGCATCGTCAAGAGGAACTTGTGCCGCTCCAAAAGAATAGACCAGCTACCAAGCTTCTTGGAAGAGGATGTCAGAAAAACCAAGTTCTGTGATCTCCTATGAGGAGATGATAGAGAATCGAGAACCATCATTTTGCAGAAGATTTAATCTGTCCAAAGTCCTGCATCAAACAAAAAAATAGTTACTAATTGGTTGTGATATGGAATTTCACAAATATATAAAACATGAGAGAAAGGTACATGCCCATACAAGAATATGAAGCCATACATTAGCAATTAGAGAAGCTTCGAAATAAAAATCATTTGACAGAACATGTTTCTTTTTTAACATGGAAAATGCTGAAAACACAACAAAGAATGATAGTAATGTATAATAAAACAACATTCTAAGTGACAAAAATTAAAAAATAAAGTCATCATGATTTTCAACAATCTCTCATTACTCTGTCTG